CCTTGAAATTTTTTTTCTGTACTAGCTAAGACAGTACTGATGAGTACACAAAATATGGAGTTTGTCGAGCAAACCGGAAGTGCCACATCTCAAAATGTGAAAAGTCCATACGGCTTTTGCAATATTTTACTTAAAGACATAAGAGTTACATTTTCTGAATGCTTGAAGGAAAGCCTAAAAATCTATCGGTTTAGAATTTTGATTTAGGTCAACTGATGGACGCCATTTTGAAATGAAAATGAAAATTAGTGAAAAATCCACATTTATGGGCTTGAAAACATACACAATTGGTCGTGGCTTAGAGAATCTGTCTCCTATTACCGAAATTAATACATTTGAGGATAGCCTGGATCATGGTCGAATGTTTGGTATTTGAATATTTCAAAAATTCGAATTTCTCCTTTGATGTTTTCCGTGCCGACAAGGTTGTTTTCGAGTTTAGCTGGTTTTGATTTCGCGCATGCGCTACACAGGAACCAACGGTACCATGACTACTAAATTCCGGCGAGCAACTTTTCACGTTGGTACCTAGGCACCCTGAAAATTTCAAGGTGATACCTGCATTCGTTCAAGTCGTTTGTTCTTGTCACCTGCCTTTCGTCGTTTTTTTTTTCTAAGTCAATTTACGGCTTCCATGAGGGGAAAAAAGTGGAATTTCGCCGTGACACCGATTGTCCGAAAACCATGAAATTTGGACACAATACGCCCATTACCACCCCGGACTCTGTGCTTTACCCCCATTTTGATCCCATTAAAAAAAAAGAGTTTTAGCAAAAAAACGATTTTCGGAATTTAATATTGGTTTTAACCCTGTAATACCCAGACATGATATATTATTATAATCCCTATGAAATATTTTAATTATTTACTGCTATAATATGAATTATCACTTATTCCCCGTGAAATAAATATCGGTCACCTGGTGCCGCTGTACAACTTAAAGGACACTGGCCTCAAGTCAATTTACGGAGAGAGAGAGAGAGAGAGAAATGGGGTTTAACGTCCACTCGACACAAACTAGGTCATTTCGGGACCAACATATGGTTTAATTTTATTTCAATAATTCGCTTGCGCGTAGGGGTCTTTAGCAGTGGGAGGAAACCGGAGGACCCGGAGAAAACCCACAAGGTTGGACAGGCGACCCTACTCCTTGCGTCAATTTACGGCTTCCATGAGGGGAAAAAAGTGGAATTTCGCCGTGACACCGGCACCGATTGTCCGAAAACCATGAAATTAGGACACAATACGCCCATTACCACCCCTGACTCTGTGCTTTACCCCCATTTTGATCACATTAAAAAGAAAAGAGTTTTAGCAAAAAAACGATTTTCGGAATTTAATATTGGTTTTAATTAATTTTGAAATTGGAAATGCAAAGAGATTTTATCTCCTCTTCCGTATGTGATAGGTATTGGTACTATACACATTATCCTTAAAAGACAATTTTTTAAACTGACCGTAACGATGCATCGACACTAGAAACCGAAATCGCCTATTTTGACTGCTGGGGTATCTTTCCGTACGTGACAAGGAGTAGGTCGCCCGTCCAACCTGTGTATTTTTTCAGGATCACCCGGTTTCCCCCCACTGCTAGACCCCTACGCGCAAGCGAATTATTGAAATAAAATTGAACCATACGTTAGTCCCGAAATGACCTAGTTTGTGTCGAGTGGTCGATCAACCCCATTTCGCTCTCTCAATTTTAGCACTCCTAACTCTAAAACTAAATGCAAGGAACGGGCCTATTTACAGAGGTCACAATTTTAACCTACATGCACACCTACATGATATACATATTATTATAATCCCTATGGGATATTTTAATTATTTACTGTTATAATATGAATTATCACTTATTCCCCGTTAAATAAATATCGGTCACCGGGTGCAGCTGTACAACTTCAAGGACCTTGGCCTCAAGTGCATGGGACCAACTCTACATTTTCTGAAATGTCAATAAAAGCCCTGGAATGATTTCATTTAAAAAAAATAATCAGAAAGTAAATCTAGTTTTATTTATATGCTATTTGTTGCCAGAAAATATATTTTGTTACGAGTCTAATTCAAATTTAAAAATAAACAATGGGTCTGAGGCATATTTTATTGATATATAGAAATTAATGCAGTGTTCTCATTATGTGATAAAAGAGTGCCAGAAATGTCTCGAAATTCAGCCATTTGTGTATTTAGTATATCAAGTATATGCGTGTATTACAAAGCTCTGATTTGTGTGATTTGTGTACACCCCGCTCCCCCCCCCCTCCTCGTGTCACTATCATGTACATATCAATTCTGCTGCCAACCCACCCACGCGAACATGACTAAATTATGAAACATTGTCTAGTCGTTTGTATGTTACGACAAAACGAGGCCAGCGTGGCTCATTTGCTGCAGAACGGAAGGCCTTGCAAGGATCTGTGTCTAGTCGTTTCGATGGGACGAAAAACGCCCGTCCCCTCGTCCATGGTACAAGGATTAGTGCCTAGTCGCTTGGATGGTATGCAAAACAGAGGTCCCCGTTCTCTCCCTTTGTCTGTGGTTCTTGACCGAAGGCCCGACAACTAACTTTGCGTGCAGTTTTTTAGGTAGGACGAAAAATCGAAATCCTGTGTGCATATTGGCGTGCACGAAAAATAACCCTTTGCGTTTGGAATTTTATGCACCCACCCCACCCTCGAACAACGCTTAACATAACATTTTGTTTTCACTACCTACATTGTAAAATTTGTTTGATTTCAGATGACTTAGCCCCGGTTTTTCACAGTGAAAGATTTTGATGAAACTTGACATGCATGTTTATAACCCAAAGATATGGTTCCTTTCGATATTTGCGCATATCGAATCGTAACTTCATGAATTATGGTCCCTGATTGTAAGAAAAATCACTTTATATTTCGCGTGTTCTCTATCTATCTCTCGGAAATGGAATATGGAAATACACAAGCTAGCTAGTGTATTACAGGTTGGTGGTGGTGGGGATGAGGTCTTCTATTTGCAATGATTTTTTTGACTACAAAATATACGCTCTAACTCATTACTCAAACTACAGCAAAAAAAAAGCGGAACGGAAACCCGATTTTATATATTCTTACAATAGCAACGCACTTCGGGATTAACTTAGAAATGGTTCCACTACTGATGTCTTCCGCCTTACTCCTGCCACAGTAGTGGCTTGTCCTACGGAGTTCCTTTCCGCAAGTTTTTTTTAGTCAAATGACTACAAAAAGGTTACTGGCCTATGTATAGCTCCCTTAATTTACACATAAACTGACCTAAAACTGCACTGCACATATAATAAACCAATTCCCATTGAAATAAAGGTGAAGCCGTACCGCATAATTATATGATTTGATGAAACCCAACTGCTACCTGAAGTTTCTCACCTATCGAAGTTATAATATCCGCCGGTGTCATGGCGGCTCGCACATTATAAGAATCATTGCTTTGAAAATGTAGAACGCATTAACACAAAGAAAAACTGATGGGTAACTAGTTTAGTGGTCCAGTCTTCACTATAATTTGTGATAGAATTACTTATTTAAAAAAAACTGAATGATGTAAAAATAAAAATGGTTGGAGTGCCCAAGTTTAGATTTGTCGTTGATTTCATAAAGATGTTAGGATATAGAACGTTAAATACTGTGTGATTCAACATGGCGGCCGAGGGGTTTAATATGATATAAGTACGAAATACATGTACATGTAGTACCAAATGGTTTATATGTATGAGAGTCAAGGTTTGGACTAAATGTCTTGGGGAAGTAGGGGGAGACTAGCATGTGCCTCTCTTAGTGGACCGATGTGAGATTGCCCATTGTATTAACTGGACGGGTAGGCCTATTCACCTTCAGTTATGTGTCAATGTCAAATAAGCGGCTTCGTATCAACACGGTCGGCTCTGGGCCGGTTTAATTCTACGTATCTCTCGTAGCTGAGAGAAAAAAGATTTTTTAGCCCAGAGAATATCTTCCGTCAGAGTGGTTGTTGATTCATAGATTCTAATAACCCCTTTTGAAGTTTATATGAAAGCTTTGATATCTGCTATGCAGATCTAGTTATTATTATTATTATTTGCAAGTGATTGGGGATCAATGTAAGTATTAAAGAAAATATCCCAAGAATAAGATGAAATATATGTGTTTATGCCATCTACATCCAAATCTTGATATTTCCAGATAGTCCTTTGGTACGAATTTAATTTAGGCTTCGATGTATTGAAAAAGAGAACAATAGGACTGTGATCACTAATACTACAATCAAGAATATTAATATCTTTAATAAAATCGGGACAACTGACAATCGCTAAATCAATGAGACTTTTGGAATCCGGTTGAATTCTAGTTGGGTCTTTAATTAATTGTCTGTAATCTAATGAGGTTATAAGATCGTGAAGCCGAGATTTTCTATATTTCAAAAAATCAATGTTAAAATCACTCAATATGACAATATTTAAATCAGTAAAGTCTGTAGTGGAATTAAAACTTTCTTCATTTAAGTCCCAGTAGGAGGTGTTTGCAGAAGGCTGACGATAAAAAGTACCAATCAAAACCAAATCTTTTCTATATCGAACTTCAATTCAAATAGCTTCTAAGTTTTCAATTGTCAGATCATGTCTTGGTTTGAAGAAAATGTTATTTTTAACATATACAGCTACACCAACACCTCTACCATCTTCGCGGTTGAGGGTGATCGGACTATGATATCCATCAAGATTTATATCACCAGATATGATTGAATCGTTAAACCATGTTTCAGAAAAAGTTAGAATATCATATTTACTTAGCTCAAGTGAGACTTCATCAAGTTTGTTTTGTAGGCTTCTGGCGTTAAGGTGTATAATAGAGAGGTTTGATGACCCAGGATTTGGATGCACATCTCCACTTTAATGATTTATGGATAGAGTCTGTTCTTAATCAATTAAGTTGAGTTTTTTAGACTATCGGAAATACTACACTCTAATCATTTAGTTAGTTTCACATAGTTCTGATAATTCAACTTACCTCTTTAGGACTGTGCACCTTTGGCCAAAATTTAAGAAGACCCATAATTGCCTGAAATAAAACAATGCGTATGACGTGTAGATCAACAATAAACAATTTCTTTCAAATTAATCTAACCAGCGGCTGCCAGGCAGGATACGCCCACATTTTGTAAGAGATGGACAGAGAAAAAGCTAAACAATCAGCGATTTTTCATATGCGTGAATATGGACAGGAACCAAGATCTTTGGGTTATAAAGATATATTTCAAGTTTGATCAAAATCAGATCAAAATTGTGACTTCTAGAGGGTCCACAACCTTGATTTCCATATATTTACACTATTTGCGTACGAAGGGAGACAGTTTATCCGGCAGTTTTAATCGAATTATCACAAAATTCGAACTCACTCGTTATTAGGGTGTAACGGTGATATATTCAAACATTTTTTATAAATCGGATAAAAATTGTAACTTTTAGAGAGACCACAAGCTAAAAAGTGATTTTTCGGATAATCAAGGGCCATAATTCAGGAAGTTATGATCCAATATGCGCAAATATTGAAAGGAACGAAGATCTTTGGGTAATAAAAATAAGAATTTCAAGTTTCATCAAAATCGGATTAAAATTGTGGCCTCTAGAGGGTGCACAACCTTGATATCATTCTGAACATCTGAGACACGCTACCTGCGGAGTAGTATCTCAGACACAGTCAATAGCCATGATATCCATATCACGTGATCTACACATCACAGGTCATGACATTGACGTCAATGGGTCATGAGGTCAACAACACGTTACATTGTAAACAATAGGTTTATCTTCAGCATTGTGTCCTTTGCACCCATAAAGACTATATAATTCGTACAGTCCCAACATGTTCTCTCTTCTTCCAATGATTTTTCACAAAAATAACATCTACAACTCATAGAATTGACGTTGTCTTCAATGACGGCGTCTGCGAATGGTTGTTCAGAGAGGCTGCCATCTTGGCACTATTTTGTGCGTCGGGCGTGTCTATTTCAGATATTTACAATCAATTCTGTTGATGTTTTTAGCGTTGGGATTGACTAATAGTTAATTTATTTCAGTTCTAAAACAAATACTTTAATCTTTAACGCAAATTTAGAAAATAGCCAAATTCTGGCTGGGATTACTGAGCAAAATGGCCATTCACTGTATACATGCGAAAAAAAAGCTCTTTACACTATTTGTGTATGAGGTGCGGCCATTTTGTCTGGCAGTTTTGGTCTAATTTTCACAAAATTCGAATTTATAAAATGTCCTTGTCTGTCCTTCTGTAACATTAGCAACAGTTGCCTGCCCGATAAATGTTTAAATTTTAGGTTATTAAAATATATGATTATATTTATTATATTAATCTTAAATTCTTAATATTATGCTTTATTTCGCATATAAAAAGTCTCAGTAACTACTTACATCAACACTATAAATAGAAATTTTCTTCAAACTTTAGTGCTAATGTTACAAATCTGCCAGAATGTCTGTCCACATGTAACATTAGCAATGCAATTAATTTTTAAATTAATAATTAATTTGTAAATTGTATCCCATGAAACTTCAGATTTTGAAGAAAATTATTAATATATATAAGCAACAGTTAATATCTGAAAAGGAAAATAAATGTGCCATGCGTCTGTCAAATTCAAAAGAGACATTTTGTATTTACTAAAATGGTCATCTTTACTGTCTTATGACCCAAAAATAATAGCATCTTCATTCATTTAACATAATTCAATGTATATTCTACCTATAGAGATTGCTATTTATATGAATTTTAATGTGCACTGTTTGCATTTGAGATATATAATTTCATCTAGAGTGATACTATTCAAAAAATTTCAATATGTTAGGTATAATATTCAATAAAAAAATTATTTTGCGAAAAATTATCTTTTTTCAAATATATTTTGGAAGAATATGTATCAATCTTCCCTGAGACAGGGATTTTGTAAGAGGAATAGGAATTTCATAATTCAGTTGGGATTGGGAACCTATGGTACACTTTAAAAAAAACATGCCTTCTAGCTAAATTAGAAAGAGTTATTGTGTCCCAAAAAGTGTGACAGACAGACGAACAAACCCATTTTATTAATAGTCTCCTGCTTTCTTCAAAACAGAAAGTTGATTATGCGCTTGTCTTGTGAATAAATGTCTAATTAATAATTTATAACATAAGAAGCCAAAATCAAGACCAGCAATAGGCTGATTTAGCTCTTACACATGTACATAATGCATCTTTAAGCCTCACAAGTTAATTTTAGTATTAAGTTTAGCATTCAACTACTGAAAGTCTCTTATGTGTTAATCTGTTATTTGAAAAAAAACACCAAAGGACTTACTGGTTCTGTTAGGCTAGGATCTTTTTCTAAGAACTGTACAACACAATATGCCAGCTGAGGGTGATACACACTCAGAGACTTGGCTTTATGCAAGGGCAGTAATACTTTTAACAAGAATACTTTATGTTCTTCTTTTAAAGGTAATGCAAAGCCATTAATTATACTGAAAATAAATTTGAATGGATGTGAAAAAAAGGCAAATTTATATTCAAAATAATAAGACTTTCATAGAATAGGTATCAAACATTAAAGTTAATGCATCTGGTACATTGTTTACTGATCAAGTCAGTAAATGTATACAGTACAACCATGTGCATTCGACATATCCCTTCTTTCGGCATGACTAGTCATGAGGATTAAATAAAGAAAACCAGCGGTCGTCAGGCAAGATACGCCAACATTTTGCAAGAGATGGATAGAGAACAAGTTAAAAACAAAAGCAATTTTTCGTACAAGCAGACGCCACAATCCAGAAAGTTATGGTCTGAAATGAGGAAATATCAAAAGGGATTGAGATCTTTGGGATATAAAGATATATTTTAAGTTTCATCAAAATCGGATAAAAAACGGTGACCTGTATAGAGTCCACAACCTTTGTATTACATACTTTTACACAATTTGCGTACAAAGTGCGGCCATTTTGTCGGGCAGTTTCGTTTCGATTTTTCCAAAATTCGAATTCAACATTTATTGCAGTGGAATGGTGATATATATTTAAACAGTTTTAAAATAAAAATTGTGACCTCTAGAGAATCCACAAGCTAAAAAACATGATTTTTCGTACAATCAGGGGCCATAATCCAGGAAGTTATTATATCTTTGTGATATAAACATACATTTCAAGTTTTATCAAAATCGAATAAAAATTGTGACTTCTAGAGGGTCCACAACCTTGGTTTTACATACTTTTAGACTATTAGCCTACAAGGAGCTGCCATTTTGTCCGGCAGTTTCTGTTGTGTTTTTACGAAATTTTAACTCAACCTTCACTCAGGTGTAACGGTGATATATTTAAATGGTTTATAAAATTGAATACAAATTGTGACTTCTAGAGGGTCGACAAGCTAAAAATGTTATTTTTCAAACAATTAGGGGCCATAATCCAGGAAGTTACGTTCTGATATGCATGATTATCGAGATGATCCAAGATCTTTGTGATATCAACATATACTCAGCCAAATTAAAAACTTGACACTGATGAATTTCAACAAAATTTTTTTTCTGGTATGTCAAATAAATTTTAAAGTGTTTCTAACGATAGTAAGTAGCCTTTAATTTCATAAAATTGTAAAGTCACGTCGATCACATGACTTTTGAGCATATAAAGATGAAAAACCTGAAAAACACATGCAAACACAAACTCATGAGGTCAATCGATGCAAATTGATTGAAATTGTTATTTTCATCTTTGTTAGAAAATGCTGCGCCTTTCAAATGTAGAACGTCTACGTGCTATAGGTAGGCTCTATGCTGGTCAGTCTGTGGTCACTGTTGCAAGAGCCTTTAATTGTTCACGCCAGACAATAATTAATCTTAGAAAGAGTGCTTCAAACTGGAACTATTGCCAACCGCCCAAGGCCGGGAGCGCCACGTGTGACGTCACTCCAGGAAGATCAAGCAATACGATTACGTCATCTTAGAAACAGATTTGTCACTGCAACCTCCACAAGTAGAGAGATGTTTGGTGGAAGGATAACTGCACAAACTGTTTGAAATCGCTTGCAGGCTGCTGGTCTTCGAGCTCGGAGGCCCTATAATGGACCAATATTGACACCTCTTCATCGCCGTAACCGACTTGTGTGGGCCACAAGACACATAAGATTTACTCAAAGACAGTGGAATTCGGTTGTCTTTTGTGACGAATCTCGATTCACTTTGAGATTTGCCGATGGCAGGGTCCGAGTGTACTGCAGACGAGGTGAACGTTACGCTCAAGTATGCGTCAGAGAAGTTGACCGATTTGGTGGCGGCAGCGTCATGGTTTGGGATTCTTTTCGTGCACATGGACGTTCTCCTCTTGTTGTTGTCCAAGGGAACGTAAATGCTGTCCAGTACAGGGATCAGATATTGCAACCTGTTCTTCTTCCGTTTATGCAGAGACATGGGCCTGGACTAACATTTCAACAAGACAATGCTCGACCCCATACAGCAATTGCTACCCAGAATTTTTTAAGAAATGCCGGTGTCCAAGTCCTGGATTGGCCGTCACTTAGCCCCGACCTTAATCCTATTGAACACATCTTGGACAAACTGGGTCGACGTGTTCGTCAGCAAGTGAATCCACCACTGACGTTGCAGGACCTTTAACATGCTCTTGCTGAGCAGTGGCGACGTCTTCCTCGGGTAGTGTTTACTAATGTTCTGAGATCCATGAGAAGACGTTGTGTGGCAGTACGAGACGCTTGGAGGCCACAACCGTTACTAAACACTTTGTTCCGATTGTTCTCCAAGTCTGTGAATTTCATTTTGGGGGGTACTGTGACATCACGAACGTTATCAATGTCAAGGACTTTCGACGAGACATATTCTTGCTTTCTGTTGATGTCAAGGTCGTCTGTGCACAACATAACACTAAAATAGTTGCCTTAAACCAAGTATTAAAAATATAGTCCCAAAAATCCCGAGTGTCAAGTTTTTAATTTGGCTGAGTATACATTTCAAGTTTCATCAAAATCGTATAAAAACTTGTGACTTCGAGAGGGTCCACAACCTCAAGGTATTACATACTTTTCTTTTAGACTATTTGCATAAAGAAGCGGCCATTTTGTCAGTTTCAATCTGATTTTCTAGAAATTCGAACATAACCCTTATTATGGCGAAACGGTGATATATTTAAACGATTTTTTAAATCAGATAAAAATTGTGGCTTGTGGAGGGACCACAAGCTAAAAATGCGATTTTTCGTAAAATCAGGGGCCATAATCCAGGAAGTTAAAGTCCGATATGCACGAATATCGAAAGGAACCGAGATCTTTGGGGTATAAACATACATTTCAAGTTTCTTCAAAATCGGATAACAACATGATCTTTCGTACAATCAGGGGCCATAATCCATGAAGTTACAGTCCGATAAATGCAAATTTCGAAAGGAACCAAGATCTTTGCGAGATACACCTATATTTCAAGTTGAGTCAAAATCAGATAAAAATTGTGACCTGTAGAGTGTCCACAAACAAATTGTGAACAGACACACGGACCATGGCAACAACAATATACGTCCACATGAAAATGTGGGCGTATGAAAAAATGTGTCTGTAAGCTTACAATTACGGAAAAAATATCAAAACACTTGAGACACATTTCAATTTATTTTGTCTTTACAATTATGTTTTCTTTTTAAATTACATCAAGTTTACATTTGTAATTACTATTCACAACAGTTCATAAACATCATACTCTGCAGATATATTGTTGTACAAGAAATCTCTTAAATGTGGGCCAGTGGCCAGTAGGAATTATGTTGCTGCTGTGAGAAAATTCTTAATCATAGCAAATAAATTACCTTATGTTTATCTCAAAATAACATATGGCATTAGGTGTATTTGATAGTATTAATCAATTTGTATAGCGCAGAGTGTTACAACTAATCAGCCGCTCCGGGGAGCTCTAATATCATTCAATTAATTAAATCTGTGACCACAAATAGTAATACTGACTCACCTTCCCAATATTTCTAATAACTCTGCAACACCATTATGGTGTTCAGTTTCATAAATAAATCTAAAATGTATAAAAAATATTTTAACCTATCACATAAAATAATCATGGTTTTAATGATCCATCTATTTTAACTGTATAATTGTTAAACTTTTAAAATATAAATTTATACAGATTTCTTTTCACAAATCTCTTATTAAATTTATTTATTGTATTTGAAGATTGAAATTTCAAAATCGCTAATTTTATGGAATGTTAATTGATGGAAATGCAGATTTGTCTGCTGATCAAGTTCCCTGCCAATCAGAGAAAGAGATAGAGAGATGACCTTCAACATCCACTTAACACTAACAGATCATTTTGGGACTGGCATATGATTGATTTTTATTGCAATAATTTGCTTGCATAGAACCCAAGCAAAAATTCAAAAGCGTCTTTTAATTTATAGAAGTATACACTTTAACACACTCAGCCACTCCACAGCCCAATGCCAGTCAGTCTGGGCTAGTAAATGTGACCAAAATGAGATCCTTATCAAATGCTATGTATTCAGATAAATCATCAATTTGATGTATTTCCACAGATGACACATTAAACAACCACTAGAGACCAAGTTTAGACCTAATTTTCAAATGAGATGCTTTTAAAAAAATGTAGGATATGTAAGGATTACATTAAATGTGGTATAACATAACACAATATACAGAACAATACTTTATTTTAGATCTTATAATCCCTTGATCAAACATTGTATGTTAACTCTACCTTCTTAAAGGTAAGAAGATTAAAACACTACTTCTAATAAACTCAATAAATACATACTGTATTATACACATTTACTTACTTATAAAATATATTATTTATCTGTTTTCTTATATATGCCCTAAGACCCAAGAATTTCCCATATATACGATGTAATATTGTTTTAAGAAAATCTCTTTCCCTAGGGTCTTCACTGTCAAACAGGTCTAATAGCTGTAATAGAAAAATTATAAATAAAACTTAGGCCAAATTAGAGCACAGTATTGGGTCAAACATTAATCTGACATATTCGGCCAGGAGTCTTCTTATAATACAAAGAGAACTGTAATACCATCCGTAACTTAGAATTCATACTCCAAGTTAAAATTTTGTTTATATGCAAATCCAGATGTCTCAATTACCTGCTGAACAAATTTTTGGTCAATATATCTCTTGGCTGTATTTGGCTGAAAATCAGGAGATTCCAAGAAACGTAGAAAAAATTCATAAACAAGCTGAAAGCAAAAAAATATAACCTTAAAATACATTACATCATGAAAATAATTAAACAAAACCATTCTGTATTTTTACGCTGCATTGCATAGCTAAAATCGTCAATTGATGAAATTCTAGTGAACGACATAATTTCAAATACAAGCTTATTTGAGCAAGTCTGACAATTATTATTAATAATAATATTAATATCAATTACAGGCCATGAAATTTCAAATTTTGGCGTAACCAGAAAAATGGTTGCGGGTTTATGCTCTGCGTAACCATTTTCTTTGGTTACACCAGATGACCATTACGTAACCAATTAGTTACTTAAAATGGTTACGCTATTTTCATGTTTTATCCAGATTTAAATGGTGCTATTATTATTCATTTTTAAAGAAATAACTTGACTAATTTATATTCTTTAATATATTTAATATTATATTTACAGGTTAAGTGTCCCCATTTAAACAGAAAAATCCCCATTATTTTATCAATCGGCTTTTTCAAACATCAAGCGGCTGATGTACGTAAATGGCTACTCAGTTAACTGGTCACGGTTTGGTTGCAGAGGGGAATCGGTTCCAAAAATTACTAATAGATTTTCATTTTTATATCATATCTGACCTTCAAAAACCAGGAATGGTAGCTACCACACTGTACTACATACGTACTTCATATTACACTTGTCATTTGTAATCATTCTTCCAAGCACGTAGCATGATATAGCCTCACTCATAGGTAGCGACTGATTGACAAACAGTATTTATCAACCTATACTCTATACACAAAGTCTCAAAAGGAAACAGAATAGTTTGATGTCATGAAATAATATTAAAATTGACAGGAAAGTAAAATCGTTTACATTATCGCTCGAGCAAAGCCGGAGGGGGTAAAAGTTGACGACATACATACGGGTCATTGGTACTTCCGTACAGCATGGCTATAGTGAAAACTGAAAGGGACACGTGCAGTAAATTCTTTGGAAATATAGCTGGCATGTTAAATAGTCAAACTCATTTCTCATTTTGTGTTTGAAAATCCAAAGGTACGCTTTCAAATATTTCTGGCATAACTAATCATTTAAAAAATTAGGGGTGGGGGCATTTTTAAATCAACCTGCTTGCAACTGGTCTGGCGGAAGTACTAAATTTCACCCGTGGTTCAACCTGGGCGGAAATGAAAAATCGCGGACGTCAGTTAATCAATCTGCTCTGGCCACGCTCAAAATTCCGCTCTAAATTTCCTCCGCGAATTTGAGTAAACCGCCGACATCCGCGATTATTTTAAACCGCTGCCCACCACGAATTTTAAAAAGTCGAACTTTCCACATACCTGGTTTGAAATGGGTTTATTTATCGTGCAATTCCACGGCAGTGATATCGTAGTCGAATATCAGCTAATACAGCATGCAAAGAAAGATTGTTAATTTAACACAGATTTTACTGGCTTATATTGAAAAATAACAAATATCAAACAGGCTTTTAAATAATTAAATAAACAGAATTATGGCTGTACCGATACATTACTTCATCAATATGTTCGACATTTTTAAGACTTGCATCGATCGACTATTTCAAACTCATTCAAATTACGAAAACTTCAAAATTTACACACATAGATGCTGGTCTTACCGTGGGCGTAAGTTTTGTCCATCGAAATAGTCATTTCCATTCTGACAAATAAGTTACACAATGCATTTTAAATTGATAAATCACACCTGAAGTAATAATCTTCGGGTTTAAATCACAAATGAATTAAATGCCTTAATGTCTTGTTTTTAAGCACACATAGCCAGAAGTCACCGTCAACCTTGCTGAACACATGTACATTAACACGCATCAGTGGGATAATACCTTGATGGCCTTTTCATTTTGCCACCAAAGAGTCTGAGTCAATGCATACTATCAAGATTCCTAATTAATTACGTGAATTCACACATGCAATCAAAATGAATTGATAATTGACTAAAATAGAAGACCCTTTAACAACAAATTGTTACCATGTCCTAGTCTTGTAGACAATACTTTTATTCTGCATTGTCAGTAAGTCATCATTATCCAAAATAGTTGACCTCATTATTAAGAAACAATTACAATTGGGACGCGACCAATCTGGATTTTCACACTAATTGTCGCCTCAGTTACTATTAATAATCTCAATTCTGTCCGGACAAGATTCCATTCATAAGAACTTGTTGTTAGGTGTTTAATTGAAATCTGTATCTTAAAATCAAATACGAAACTGAAATAAGTAAACAGTCTTCCAGCTTCTATCCACTACAATGACATTTAATTTTGGGGACATAAAATATATATTGGTTGCCGTATCGTCATTCTAATTGAATTATTGTTAAACTAAATATCAGAGAGAAAATATACCTACAATTTACATCATGTATTACCAGTATGTTACTACAGAGGATTCTATTAATTTTATTTACGATAAAACTCTATAGTCTATTAGGGTTGGGTTAGGGTTCATTAGTCCACCGACATTTATTATTAGGGTTAGGGCTGGGTTAGGATAGGGTTCATCAGTCCACCGATATCTATTATTAGGGTTAGGGTTAGGTTTATTGATACCCACATATATGTGATATATAGTAACAGCTGTTTGTGTTTTTCGTTTTATGTGAGACTGATAGTTGTCTTTTGTTTTATTTAATTGATCGGCGATTGTTGAGACTGCGATTAACACTTGCTAGTTCTCTTATTTTGTTTCATCAGCGAGCATTGGTATATCCGGTATACCCGGCTGGAACATTTGAAAATTTGTGTATATTTAGTAATACTTCGTTGTTTTTCTTTTATCAAATAGTAAACGAGCTTGATTGACCGATGACTGCTAATGTTATTTCGTAAAACGGAATAATTGCAATCAACACACGATTTTCCTGATTCACAAAAGAACCATAAGGTTTATTTGCACATAATACAATAAGATGCGGATTATCGGTTAATCAGCTTTGTTCGTTGCTATTTCTAATATTTTCAACAAAAAAAAAACTTGCTTTGTACGTACTAATTTATCGATTGGTACTGCCATCTACGAGAAGCTTGTCGAGGTATGCATCAACGTGCAGCTTACAGGTTATCGTTAACAATTTCTAGGGTCTTGTAACAAGAGTGCATGTCGTGTAAATATTTACTTTTGATTTTTGTGTAGGTCATTTTCAAATAAATTCATAGGCATGTTATTCTTTTTTAACAAATATATTACTATATGAGAAACGATGATTATCAAAGAACCGTAAGTGCAACTAATGGTTTATCGTTTGGTGGAGCCTTTTAATAACCATGTGTTTCAAGTTAATAAATATTTTCCTTTGTCTCATGAGATTATCGTTGTGCATTTGTACATCGCGAGGTTGACTTCTGTAAACGTGTACAGGTGAAAAACTTAATTACCGTATTTTTCGGTGTATTAGGCGCACTTTTTTTTACCAGATATTTTTATTTACAGAAGGGGTGCGCCTAATACATAGTATTAAGCAAATCTAGACTTTTCCCGTGTCAACATCGAAGTCGTGCAAAAAAGATGGCAGCCATTTCACCTACCGCTACCGGTATTCCATATACCGTTAGTCATAAACAACATTGCTAACCATATGGGCCGATAGTGGTTTAGTGTTAGCAGTATTTAGAATATCTACATAATTATCGTTAATATTTCTATTATTCCTACGTATTTGATGACATATATTTCTGCTATTCCGATTAATGTGTAGAGGTACTGTTAGCCATTATCGGCAATCCAAACAGTGTCTTGTCAATGGTGTTGTTAGTCAAGTTGACGAAAAGGCGGGACTTATGACAGATAAGCCTTTTCATTGGCTTTTAGAAAGGTAACATCTATTGAGCACACGCTCATTATACCATAGACTAACAATATCTGCAAAATTCTAGTTAATATTTCTATTAGTCCTGCGTATTTGATGACATATATTTCTGCTCCGTTTATTGTGTACCGGTACTGTTAGCCATTGTCGGCAATCCAAACAACGTCTCGTCAATGGTGATATCAGTCATGTTGACGAAAAGGCGGGGCTTACGACAGACAAGAATTTTCATTGGCTTTTAGAAGGGTAATTCTCGTTAATATTTCTATTATTCCTGCGTATTTGATGACATATATATCTGCTCCGTTTATTGTGTACCGGTACTGTTAGTCATTGTCGGCAATCCAAACAACGTCTCGTCAATGGTGATATCAGTCATGTTGACGAAAAGGCGGGGCTTACGACAGACAAGAATTTTCATTGGCTTTTAGAAGGGTAATTCTCGTTAATTTTTCTATTATTCCTGCGTATTTGATGACATATATTTCTGCTCCGTTTATTGTGTACCGGTACTGTTAGTCATTGTCGGCAATCCAAACAACGTCTCGTCAATGGTGATATCAGTCATGTTGACGAAAAGGCGGGGCTTACGACAGACAAGAATTTTCATTGGCTTTTAGAAGGGTAATTCTCGTTAATATTTCTATTATTCCTGCGTATTTGATGACATATATTTCTGCTCCGTTTATTGTGTACCAGTACTGTTAGTCATTGTCCGCAATCCAAACAACGTCTCGTCAATGGTGATATCAGTCATGTTGACGAAAAGGCGGGGCTTACGACAGACAAGAATTTTCATTGGGTTTTAGAATGGTAATATCCATTGAGCACACACTCATCATCTATTACAATGACAGCGTTAATGGGCGGGATTACAGTTAAACTGGCAGAATATATCGAAGAACAGAACAAATTTAAGCCATCGAGGATAATGTGCGGTGCTCCACCTATTCGCTTCTTTACTAGGTTTCATGTCGGTAAGTTTCCCCTTCATCGCCCTACAACGTCTCGTGTTCGACTCCCCCAAACTAAATTCACGACCCGCAGCCTTATTACCGTGTGCTTCAGCGTAACTAATTACCCTCAACTTCTCCTTAGCGGTATAACCGGTTCGTCTCGTAGCCATTCTGAATAAATAATTTCTAAGATTCGTTCGTTCGTTTCTAGAGTTTTACGTCCACTTCCACCTAATGTGATATCGTAGACAAGATTTCTAAGAATGATGACTAGTATTTTATATACATCGGGGTGTTCTCTTTGAGCAAGACTGTCATTTAGTAACCATTTTAAGTTACCGACGGTTTTCATTCAACATGGATTCAGTGATTGGCCCATTGTTATAATTTACCGGTATAGTGAGTTGTTACCGTTTTCTTTATGAAGTTGTTTGTAGTTGACAAAATCATTGTTTCTTTGATTGGTATTAAAAATGCTAGTATTATTTTACTGATAGATCTAAATAGCTACAATCTGGGTATTGTCATGACGTGTGTAGTGGGCGGGGCAACAGACGCTATCGTTTGATTGTCAGTTGTTTGCATAACTTGGAGTAAACAGGAATTGTTGTTTCTCTTTTACCGGTAGTCAGGATTTAAGTCGTGAGTAGCTGATCATGATAAATTATTTCTACAGGTATTATTTAATTTGTTTATCATCAAAACCGATTCATTTATCACAGACAATTACTCACGAATTTAACACGATGTAATAGACGGCCATGTTTGTTGTGGGCGGGACTTAAATGACAATTTCACTACCGTACGAGCAACAGAATTACAGCTAAAAGTTATGCAATAATGCAATTGCATATTATAATTAATATAAACAAATGTAATAAAAGCAATTTATTTCATAAAGAAATATATATAAAGCTTGATACGGCTAAATATTGGTAATTATTATAACTGTAAACAATAGAGTTTGACCTAGTTACTGGAGATCGCAGGTAGATTGAGTCACGTATGCTGTGGCACGAGTTTCACGAGGTGCTGGGAAAGGGTGCGCCTAAACCACACATATTTTTTTTTCCTGAAACACCTCTGCCAAAGTCGCCCTGCCCCTTATCTACGCATGCGCCCAATAAACCGAAAAATACGGTAATTCATTTGTGATTTAAAAAAGATACATTACCTGGGATGAGATTTACTGATTTCCAAATGTATAATTACCTGGGACGTGATTAACCGATTTTTTGATATATTTGTCAATGGCGAAATTACTATTTTGAATGGATAATGATAATGGATAATAATACTAGGACCACGGTAAGGTGCTTTTTTTTTTTTAACATTCACCATTTTTATTCGCACTTCATATGCAAATAATCGTAATCAAAATGAACCGATCGGATAGACGGCTCACGGGAAAATAAACGATTCATCTAATAATTCAACATAGGAGATAAATTAAGCAGGTCTTATTTCTATACGCATCTCGGAAAATTGAACTACTCGTCTAATAAATAAGCGCACTAGATAAATGAACGGTCGGCCATTTCTAAACCCCTTTCGGAGAAATTAAACGCTGTACCATTAAATTAAGCCATAGTACTAATTAAACTATTTTTGTAATTTTCAAACGATTATTATCAATTATCAAACAATGTTTTGAAATTAAACTATATACCTAGTTTTTAGCGCCATAACCCCCATTATAAACGATACCAGTTTTACAGTGTAATAACCTTGTGACAATATGGACTAAATTACTATTTTGAATCACCGTGGACCATAATCCGCCACAAATTTTATGTTTCCACCGACTATAATCCGCCGCGAATTTCAGATTTTCGTGGATGAGAAAAACGCCGAGATATTTGAGCGGAAAAAAAGCCCACAAGGACTAATTTCATACTTCCGCTCGAACTGTACTGTACGTGGTGTCAAAATACATGATCTATCAAAGTAACGGTAAGATGGAGAAATGAATGAATGAATGGAGTTTGTGCTATACAAATAATTTAGACCTGTGCCACAAAGTCATCCTGTATAAAAATTGGTCAAATGTGAATAAATTTGTTAGTGAAATTTGACGTAACCGATATTTCAATTTGCGTAACCAGGAAGTCAGTCACGTTTTTTGGAGCTGGCGCGACCGCACGTAACCAATTGGTATCGTTTGCGTGAAATTTCGTGGTCTGAATTAAAACACAGAAAAAAGACAAATCAGTGATTGAGTAACATATTAATATTATACCTGTAAGTGAGGCCATGCAGCCTCAAGCGTAGGTTCATCTTCTTCTGGGTCAAACTCAGCTCCACTTGGGTTAGAAGATGGGGGCAAGGTACGGAAGAGATTAGAAGAAAACTAAAATAAAATTATGATAGCTGTTTTAAATATCTATTATTAAGATTGTCTCCAAATAATTTAACAACAATAATTTATGAACAGTGACACTAGCAAATAGGTGGTGGAAAAATAAGTCTTTAGCCTTTTGGTGTGGCATCTTGAGCCTTTAAACAAGCGGCTGCCAGGCAGGATACGCCCACATTTTGCAAGAGATGGATAGAGAACAAGCTAAAAACAAACATTATTTTTTGTACAATCAGGGGCAATAATCCAGAAAGTTATGGTCTGAAATGCGCAAATATCAAAAGGGACCGAGATCTTTGGGATATAAAGATATGTTTAACGTTTCATCAGAAACAGATAAAAATTGTCACCTCTAGAGGGCCCACAACCTTCGTATTGCATACTTTTACACAATTTGCGTACAAAGAGCGGCCATTTTGTCGGGCAGTTTCATTTCGATTTTCCCGAAATTCAAACTCAACCTTCATTATGGTGGAATGGTGAAATATTAAACCGTTCATTAAAATCTGAAAAAAAAATTGTGACCTCTAGAGAATCCGCAAGCTAAAAATGAGATTTTTCGAACAATCAGGAGCCATAATCCAGGAAGTTACGTTTGGATAAGCAATTATCAAAAGGAACCAAGATCTTAGTGTGTAAACGCGATATATTCACATATTTTTTTTAAAATTGGATAAAAATTGTAACCTCTACATGGACGGCAAGCTAAAAACGTGATTTTTTGTACATTAAAGAGCCATTACTCAGGAAGTTACGATCGGATACGGGCGAATATCGAAAGCAAGCAAGAGCTTTGGGTTATAAACATTTATTTCAACTCTCATCAAAATCGGATCAAAATTGTGACCTCTAGAGGATCCACAAGGTTGATATACCAGAAGCTATACACTATTTGCGTACGAGGGGCGGCCATTTTGTCCGGCAGTTTTGGTCCCATTTTCACAAAATTCGAACTTAATTAACATTACGATGTTATAGTAATATATTCGAACGTTTTTTTTTTAAATGGATAATAATTGTGACCTCTAGAGAGACCACAAGCTAAAAACATGATTTTTCATACAATCAGGGGCCATAATTCAGTTAGTTACTATCCGATATGCCCGAATAACGAAAGGAACATCCTTGGGTTATAAACATGCATTTCAAGTTTCATCAAAATCAGATCAAAATTGTGACCTCTAGAGGATCCACAACATTGATATACCAGATGTTTACACTAATTGTGTACAGGGCTGCCGGCAACCAGTATCGCAGCGCAAATTGTGATACATATTTTTTTCCTTGCTAATCAAAAATTAAAATCAAACGTTTTTGATTCGCAGTAACTGCGAATCATTAACATTCCTGTCATTTTGGATATTGACACGAAGATTTATCCACATTTAACACTTTCAACGTATATAAAATATCAAATAAATTTTATAAACAAAACTGAATTCTCCGTGTGACATTTTCCTCTCGAACTACCCAGACTCAATTCATTATACTATACATGTATAATACAGGGACATAACTCTATGAATTGGGACTATTAAACCGGAAATAGGGAATCAAGTAGTACCACTCACGTTGCGAGACATGTCAATTTCGAGTAATTATATCAGTATTCAAATTGAAAAAAAAATAAATTCAGGGTATCCCCCACGTATTATAAATATAAAAAAAAAAAATAAATACATGTAAACGTATTGTAAAATGAGAAATCAAAGTAAGAATTCCTGTAAAATATTATTGTTTACATCGTGTGCGTCTAGTTAATCAAGATTATTCGTAAAATACTGTGTGCGTCCGATTGAACAAAAATAGTAACACACGATAAAAAGCAGACGAAATTGTTTTCAAACGAAGAAATAAATTAAAATGAGTGGGACTTATCAATATTGTAACTCAAATATTTAGGAATTTTCTTCGGAACTATTTAGGAAACAGTTTTACACCTGTTATTTGGCCACGAGCTTGCGTTCATTTTCAAAATCTTCAATAAATTTAGACCGTCCTTGCTTTCCTGCAAATTTAAAATGCTTGAGTCTCAAGTTGCTGTAAATGAATTATGAAAGAAAATGTTATTCGGTTATTAACAAAAAAAAATATTTTTAATGTTTGAAGACTTTTAAAAGAACAGGAAATTAGTCTTATTGTGGTATTTTCAGACGAGTGTCAGCTATGATTGAAATAATTCCTGCCGGCTATCGCTTCGGAAGTTGCATGTAAGTTTTCAGCCTTTATTATTATATTTGCAGAGTGATATCTCAATGTTGTAGCTAGTTCTTGTTCAAACAATTGCAGTTTGTACTTACATCCTCAAAAATGCCCTATAAAACTATGACAGTGATGTCTAGCCGAAGATTCTAGTGGTTGCTATGTATACTGTTCTGACGTGTTGTCAACAAATGTTAATTTTGGCATAATGATTAGGCCTATATTTCAGCTGCTATCTTTGACTCCCTCATTGTATTTTCAAGCAATTTTGTGTGACTAATGACTTATTATTAGGTAGATCATGCTAGTCAGACTTTGATCAAAGCGCGATTTTAAAGAAATTCCACCTGATTACGTAAAGATAGGTGAGTGAAGCTAGCCTACCAAAAAAGAAAACAAATTTGTCCAGACTGTCACTGCCTAGTTAGTAGGTTCGAAACTACTATTCGGATATCCGTTAAAGGATGCAAAATAACGGTTATCCGAATCATTTTACTATCCGTTACAATCTTCTGAAATTCTGTTATGTTCTATAATATATATAGTCATTTTTACATTTGATTACTTTGAAATTCTCCCCAATGCAACTGATCACGTACGCAGGGCAAAATTTTTAACAATGGCTCAAGTCGACAACACACGTTCCAGAGTATGGCATTTCTTTGCTAAGGTAGCAGACAACAAGGCTCAACATCAATGTCAATCAACGTCAACGCAAATAATAATAATCATGATAATGGCGACGTTATGGGAACCCATCAACGCCAGATTTCTTCATATATGATAGGATTGGAAGTCCAATCTCAATATACATGTACTCCACTGAATGGCAAACTATGACCAGTAAATTCTTTGAATGGCATTTAGTAATTGGAACATAATCAAAAACACACTTTCATGGATAGCAATTACTATGGTTTATTTCGCTGCGACGTTTCAACAAGGTCGCAGTGAAATAAACCATAGTAATTGTTATCCATAAGTGTGTTTTTGATTATGACCAGTAAAATTGCCGAATTTTGTGCAAGAGATATGCGCCCTCTTAGTATTGTAAACAGGCAAGGCTTTATTGACACAATGAATACGATAAACCCTCGATACCAAGTACCATGCCATACCACAATCAACCAGCGGCTGCCAGGCACGATACACCAACATTTTGCAAGAGATGTATAGAGAACAAGCTAAAAACAAAAACGATTTTTTGTACAATCAGGGGCCATAATCCAGAAAGTTATGGTCTGAAATATTTCTGAATATAAAGATATGTTTAAAGTTTCATCAAAATTGGATAAATATTGTGACCTCTAGAGAGTCTATAACCTTTGTATTACAATTACATACTTATAATTATACACAATTTTCGTACAAAGAGCGGCGATTTTGTCGGGCAGTTTCATTTTAATTTTCACGAAACTCTAATTAAACCTTCATTATGGTGGAATGGTGATATATTATATGTTTATAAACGACTTATAAAACAGCGATTACCTATTATGGCAGTTATACATACTGCAGGGCTGGGGCCATTACATTGCCAATGTAGTTAATTACATTACCATTATTTTTTAAATGTAATCATTACAATTACTTTCTCATTTTTAGCAATGTAATTAATTACCATTACCCATTACATTGAAAGTAATTAATTACCATTACTTTATACTTTATGACTAATCACTATATAAATAAAACACCTTTTTTCATAGAAATTAAAGATAGGTTGCCAGGCAACAAAACATATGCCCACAGCAGCTAAATCGTCTGAGCGGTCGTCAAGGGTTGTCGCATATTTATTGAGGGTTAACAAAGTTCTACAAACTTAAACAAGGGTCTCAACACTGGAAGTAATCTACAGAAATTGTTGAAATTTGACCGGCTTTTTCGTTTTACTAATTCAAATAATGCATATAAATTTCATACAGATCACATGATCACTTTTGTCATTCAAACGTTCACAATTGCCATAACTCTAGAAATTATTGACGGAAACTGCTGAAATTCAATAGATCTGTTTCACAAATTTAAATGATGCATATAAATTTCATACATATCGAGCTTTAACAAATAAAACAAGGGAAATAACTCTAGAAGTAAATTGCTGAAATTCAATAGGCTTTTTCGTTTCACTAATTTAAATCATGCATATAAATTTCACAAAGATCGGGTGATAACTTTTTGTGTTAGAGCGTTCACAAGGATCAATAAAGTGAAACAAGGGCCATAACTCTAGATGTAATAAACGGAAATTGCTGTCAGGGTTTCTGCCAGAAAAATATTGAAGGGGGGTACAGTTTATGTTCCCAACTTTCCAAAATTTGGTCCACTTGACATGGAATAACCCTATACCATATCTTTACACTATTTCACGAAATCCTAACTCAGCCTCATTAGGGTGTAAGCCGTAAGGGTGAAACATATTTTAAACTTTTTTTTCAATCGGATAAAAATTGTGATCTCTAGATGGACCACAAGCTAAAAATACGATTTTTCGTACAATCAGGGGCAATAATTCAGGAAGTTACGATCCCATTTTAGCAAATATCGAAAGGAACCAAGATCTTTGGGTTATAAACATGCATATTAAGTTTCATCAAAATCAGATGAAAATTGTGACCTCTAGAGTGTCAACAAGCTAAAAAGGATTTTTCGGACAGAAAGAGGCGACGACAATATATACGTCCACATGAAAATGTGGGCGTATAAAAAAGTACACTGTAATATTCATATGCAGTAATTCGCCTTGATTATTTAGAGGGGTTATTGTCCATTCGACCACACTTTTCGACCAATCAGAATCGAGGAAATTTCTAATTTGTGCTACAATACACAACAAACGGTCGGACTGTTATGTGACCTCTGGGTTATTTCACATGTGGTACAAATACAAGTGTGCAAAGTCTAGTAATATCTATATATCAACCTACCATATTGATTGCTTCTGGGTAAATTGCATCTGTAACAACACCTCGATTCTGGGTGACATAATCTACCATTTCGTTTAACCCTGCCCTCTTTACTTCCTTCCATTTTAAATCACTTAATGGATCTTGCACAAAATCAAATAAAACACAACACTGATGAATCTTACTAATAAATAACTCTTCTCTCTCACTTGGTGTGGCATCTGAAAGACAAAAAACAGTTTAACTTCCTTATTTACACAAAGATAACAAAGGTAACCAATTAACCCATTAGTTACTAAGTTAGCCATTGTTTAGTTTATTTACATATATGGCTAATTCCATGTCAATGTTCCACACTTGAACAAAAATAAAATGATAAGGAGGAAGTTCAATGCAATTTTTTTTTTCAATACAATTATGTTGAAGTTATTTAAATTGGGTTGATATTTTATCTGTCTTACGTTATAACCAAAATACCTGGCGCCAAAGTTGTTGGTCAGTTTTTAAGAAAATAGTTATGATTTAGCAGCCTAAATTTAATTTGCTGTGTTATAATAAAATAGGGGTAGAAAATGATGATAGTTACATATTTGTATCCTATAAACTAGTATTAAACTGTGCAGTGTATATAATTTCTTTGAGGGTAACTTAAGGTATCTTTCAAGCTGAAATCTTAACAATAAATTATTGTTCCGTCTGTCACAGAATACACTGAAAAGTTTCTGTATTAACACTAACAGAAGTAGGTAATATTTAAAAGTTTAACAATAATACTAATAGCTATCTCCTTCTTTATATGGCTGATTCAGAACATATAATTAATTAGATCTAATATGAATCAACAGCGTGAAAATTGTATTTGAAATGTGTCCTGTCTGTCACAATTGTCCCGTCTGTCACAAATGTCCCGTCTGTCACAAGAGTTTATAATGCTGCTTCCCTGCTTTAATCTGCTTTTTTTTTTACCTTCAAATAGTTCAGGAAGCTTGTAATAACATTGTTGAATTATAATAGATCATTTGTCACTGATCTCTTTTTATTATTTGATAATTCAGTTGTAATTATCAACAAACCAATTCTTCCACAAAAGTTGGCTAACTTTAGGAATTTTTGGGAAACCCCAGTCAAAGTTGCTCCAATTTGAAATTTTTGAATTTTTAAAATGTTGATTTAGAATTGAAGATTAGGTATCTGAAGCCCTCATATCCAAATATACCAAATTTAAAATATTTATATTCGTTCAGGGCATGACAAATTACTTCAAGATTATCAATCTTTAATTGTTATTATAAATTTATTCTGATTTTTCTTTAAAGCACATGTACCAGATTTTTTTTTTATCATGTGAAATAATTTTTAAACAGCAACCTTCGTTCTATTATGAATTGTCTAATCAGTTTTATATTTGTCATACATGTATATGTAGTTTGCTTTAAAAAATAAATGAATTTAAACAAATTCTGAATGATACGAAATGGTTCCAAAAACTGAAAGATAACAGTTTAACATCTCCATTAGAATCATAGAATGGATTTCGAACATCAGAAGACATGTTTTCATTGCTCATCATTAATTTCCAATTATTTAATCATTTCAACTCCCAATTACTTAAAGGCTCAATACCACTCTTGTTGTAACTGAATAATATGTCCCAATCTTTATTCTGGTCAACAAATTGTACTATTATACAATATTCAAATTAATTGGTGATACAAATTTCATCTTAACACACCTAATTTAAAAAATTGGAAAAATTCAACTAAATGATTTGAAAAGCCTGACATAAAGCTTTTCAAATGTTACTTGGATTTAAAAATATTTTTGAACCCTCTGGACAAGTAAAATAGGATTTAATGGATAATTTACACAACAGGTAAGACACTAACACATCTAGTACTTAAAATAAGGCTATTTTTTATTTTCTGGAGCTGTCAAGCCAGCAAGAGTGTTATTGTCCCTTTAATCATTTCAACTAAGTTCTCTTATCCAAATTTGTCCCATTTGTCACACATACAAACTCACCCCTAAAAGTATATTTTTGACATGATTGCTCTCATCTTTGCCACAGATATGATGCTTAATTTATGGGAAACTTGACATCATTATAACAATGTAGTGTAATTTTGATTTGAGAAAGAAAATTTGTTTTAAATAAATCCATAGGAAAATGGATGCAAATTAATGTCCCGTCTGTCACAGTCAATGAGACATCTCCATTAGAAGCATGGAATGGATTTCAAACATCCAAAGACAAGTTTTCATCACTCATCATTTACTCCCAACTTCTTTATCATTTCAAATAAGTTTGCATTCTCTCTTGTCCAAATTTGTCCCGTCTGTCACAATGACTTTGCCACCGTATTTTTCCTTGGCCCCCATTGGCTAATTCAGTTTTTCAATCCTGGATTAATTATTTATTGTTTGATTTGTATAAAACAAAGTTCATATGCTCCGTGGTCCAAAATGTCATTTTTTTTGTTACCGGTAAAGTTGCCTTTCGGCAATGGAAGTGACGTAAATGTAGCAAAAACTACAATTTTGAGAGTTCGGTACCACTTTTTGAAAGCAAATATTATTTTTTTCAAATCTGGTATGACTGAAAGGGTGTGCCCTGTAAAGGCGCAGAAAACATTGGACTCACTTTTTTTAATTTCGATTTAGTTTTCGGGTCATTTCGATTTAAAGGTGAAAAAGGGTGAAAAAATGAGCTATTTACAACCCATTCAGGCTTTTCATATTTTAATATATTTTATCGCAACTTTCATAAACTAGTAGTAATAATCCATACGAAGAGAATGTATGTGAAAATTAGTTTGTAATATAAGCAGTTGCCAAAAAAATGGGCAATTTTGCATGAGTCACTTTTTACGCTAGTTTGCCTGAAAAAGAATCAATTATTATTCAATTTCCATAAAAGTGACACCATTTGATGTGTAATGTCAATTTTAACTAGGTCAAAGGAATTTAACATTTTCAATGTCACCGGAAATGACGTAATTTGGGCAAAAATTGTATTTATAGCCTTCAAACCAGTAATTTATTTAAACGAGTCGTATTTGTTATTTTTTAAAAATTTTGATATTTGATTCCAATCAACTAATAGAATGAACCCATACGATTATATAGATATCACAAAAAGTTTTCTAACTTGTACAGTTGCGGAGAAATAGACGATTTTCAACAGTTAACTTTTCAAGGTTTTTGGTCCATAAAAGTGTCAATTATTATTCGATTTTCATAAAATTTCCAGTGTGTTATACCTAATGCCATTTACGATTTTATACAAGTAATTTAACACTTTTTGTGTCATCGGAAGTAACGTCATTTTGGCAAAAACTGTATTTTTAGCCTTCGAAACAGATATTTTATTCAAATTTGTATTGTTTTTAAAATTATGATATTTGATTCCAATCAACAAATAGATTAAACCCACACTATCATACAGATACCCAAAAATGGTTTCTAACTTGTACAGTTCCTCCCAAATTTTTTGGACCGAAATCGCCGCGACGCGGTGAAAAAAAACTCTCAGAATTCTCTTAGATTTCACGGTGAAATTTCGCTTGATTCCGCAGCGATTTTTCTCTAAGATTCTCTAGGAATTCACTGTGTTTCTCTAGGAATTCACCGTGTTTCTCTAGGAATTCACCGGGTTTTGCCGTGCTTCCTGAACTAATATTGTCTATAATAAATTAAAGGAGTTGTAATATAGTAATACTCCCGGGAAACGTGTACATGGATAATGTACAGGCAGGTTTGAATAACAAATGAGTAAGGTAATCTCGGGAAGACATTTACCGGCATTTTGTATCGGTTAGGATTTTTTCTCCAACGCACTTTATACATACATAACGCAGACCAAAATGTATGCAAACTATGAACAACTTACAATTTTTTAAACATATCAATTCATCTTCGTTTATAACTTAGATGTAATCCGTCAATTTGGGGCTGCTATCAAATCCAAACTTTAAATTATATACGATGAGCTTTTACACATTACTTCATTACTCGCAGCTTTGGTTAATCTAAATCAATCATCCATACAGCACGTACAGTAAATCACTCCGCGGGTCGCTTAACGGTATGTTACATGGTCAGAAACGCGCCAAAAGATTGGGACTACATGTATATTCTTACGCTGTTTTACTCGGCGAATAATATCCGCTGTGACAATATACATCTACTTTATGTCACCCAATTCATTTCGGTGGGAGCAGATATTGAATAAAGCCATTTCACACACACATATGTGTACATTACATGCGCCTCATATATTTATACAATATCCACGAGTGTGTTAATTCTCGTCTTCACCCCGTTATAATTTACTTATTTTGAGTACACTTTCTGAATGATTCCATTCTTTTGTACGTCTAACTTGTCGATTTCCTACTGCATATGTACCCTGCAGTCCATGCGAAATGATATTTTTTTTACTGGACATTTGGGCAGGTATTATTCCAACTATTGCTGGACCGAATGAGATTTTACTGGTCCAAAAAAGTTCATACCAAAAATATGCATAAAATAAGTAGTAATGGCCTAAAACTCGAAAAACAACAAACAGTATTTTCACTCTATTGTTACTTAATATTATCTATGATACACGTAAATCATTATTATTTTCTATCAACAATAGCTTGGACTTATAATTAAATTTTTATCGCGCCAATATTTACAATCGTTTTACTGTTCTATAAATAGACCGCGTAAAGAAAATATAATCCCTTAGATGACAATCGAGTCTACCAGAAGCCAATGTTATTAATACAATAAAAGGACTTTCGTTTTAGTCTGGATTAACCTAGCCTACTACTTACTAGCTCGATATACGGTACTACGTACTCGAGATAAGATTTTGTTTACATTTTAAACAATAGTGAAATTAACACAATAAATTAAACGAGAATTCAACAGTCCGTGCACGAAGTGCCGTCAGTCAGTGCCAATATGGCGATGATTTAATATTTGTAAGTTGAGTGTCCGTTAACCCGTCCACAAGCAAACCCGTCCACGGTTAAGGTAATACCAGTACTTGACTTGTATATTATTTAATTGATTAGAATAGATCACTTTTACTCATTGGTTGTTTATATTGTTTTATTTACCTAATAATCAACTAGCTTGGCTCGCCATCCTGACAGCGATTAGTTCGAGTTCAAATTCTTTATCAGGTATAATATATAGTACAAACAAATAAATAAATACAATATGTACA